TCTTTTATTTTGTATTTGCATTTTAAATGCAACTATTTCAAATAACTCACATCTCTGCATATATGTTCATTATATAATTCATCTAAAATACCGTACACATATTTCAACTATTCCTAGTACTTTAGTTATGATAGAGTGGCAGAATTAAACTAAATCTGTTCAGGAAACTTCAACGGTAAGTTAAGCGGGAAACCCAACGAAATAATGAATTGGAATAACGTGATATTCATGTTCTTTTCCAAAAACTATAAGAACTTATAATCTAACACATGGGTAGGTATAATATAAAAAATATAAGTACTTTATTTTACTAAATTTAGCCGGTGGATATGGTAAAATCCTTATAAATTTTATCATACTCGGGAATGAATATGTTACGTTTTCATTCACGAAATTAGGGAAAAATGTCGTACTTTCGGTAAGGTATGGTATAAACTATTTTTATCTGATTGTAATTTTCAGTAAGTAATTTGCTGGTTTGATATTAAACAGTGTTATTATTTCTGATGCGAATGTATTTAGATAGGTATTACTTGCTAATCTTGCATCACAATTTAAGATATACTTGAAAGATTTATAACGTAAAATCCGATCTCGTTATCTCTTTCGAGTTTAATGGTATGGTATCCATCAAAAGAATTCAATTCAAGTAAGTAACAGCCACATTGCACTATTCAAGTACCTACTTTAAGTATAATTAAGAACTCACTTTTTTACTATAAATACGGTCTTAAGTGTCTAAATGGACATAAATAAAACCTAATGTACTTAATTTTGATATATAGGTATCTTTTTTTTATGTCGGTAAAACAAAGAACTTTTCTTTTTAAACCACTTGTGAAGATGCTTCTTCCTGCTTTGTAGGCATTTAAGAAAGTGGTTTCATTAGTAGTATAAAATATTAAAACATCCATGAATAAAGGCACTTATCTATTTTATAGTAATTAACAATAATAAATCATCCCATCTGTATTGTTCTTATTCCATATAGAAACAAGCGAATCACAAACTACGTTTGCAGTACCTATTAGTTTGCAACAAAGAATTTGTTGCACTTCCTGATTTGNGTATAAATAAAATATTTCTTTAATTAACATAAACTGACTACATTTATAAATTTTCTTGGCCCCCGAAATGTTTGGTGAAGAAAATATATCGCGCTGGCTATGATAAGTTGGACAGCGCTGATCTAGAGTATACATATGTGATTTTAAGTTCAGAAGTGACAGGTAAATAATTGTTGAATTTGCTCTATTATTGGTGTTGGAAATTTTAATTTGTTCAATATAATCTATCTATAATGACAGTACATTGAGAAATTAAACGGCGAAAATTAAAAAGGAAAATTTACCTAAATATTAAAGCGATATGTACAATTTATCCCACTAATCCGTTGCTTCATAAGCTAAAATAATAAAAATTACAATTTGGACCCGAATTTGTAAAAATAGAATCCCAGCAGAAATAAATTTACTAGGTGTTTTAGGTTGATACTACAAATTAAATTGTAATAATTAAGAAACTTGAAATAACTTTTAAAAAAGCATGTCAAAATTGACACTATTACAATCGAAAATTGTAATTTTTGCTTTGCCATAAAAAATTTAAATTCAAATTACTCGATAAATGCGGCGGAACTTTTCACAAACAAAATTCAATTTTGTGGATGGTTATTCGCAACATATAAACCCTTTATACATATGGAACATTCTCTTGTGGTGAACATTCCATTTTCATAGTAATTGGATAATTTAACAGATATGTAATTGCATACTGCGCAATTTCATCCGTTTCCCACAGTACAACCCTTTATTATTTATTAATCATACTTTCGTATAACACATAGTCAAAGCTGACTACAGCTGTGTATATATGCAAAATGTGGTATTAAATAATTACGATTTTACGACGTGAGTTTTATGCCTGATGCGGTCGCGGTTTTACACCTTTGCGTTTACTTATCCATTCTATCTGGAGTTGAATCATTTCGTTGTCAAGGTTACGAGAGTTGTGGGAGTAGATACACATTGTACTGATGCCGAAACTAATCAACTTTCATTATGTAAACAGTACGATATTCTTATTATCATTGTTGTGGTAAAACATTGAACAGTTGAACGTTATTAATAAATAACAGAGGCGCTTGCTTTTGTTTGTTTGTTTTAACAACAATATCTCGTACAGTATTGGATCAGTACAATATAGACTGATCAAATGATCACTTGTTACAAAAACAATAATTATTATCGCTACTCGTGTGTCAGGTATGTTTGTACTTTTGAATAAAGGAACTACGGTTTGATTAGTCAGTATATGTATGTGGTAAGGTGACTTAAAAGTGATTCAATCTATTCTGTAAATACCTAAAGTTAGTGAAACACTTAGTCATCGATAATTGCAAATAATGTGAATAAACTGTGTAAATGATTAAGAAATTATTTAAAGTTTGAATCCATTCGTTTTTGAATGTACTGCTTCGAAATTCTCAATTTTAATGAGTTTAATAAAAGACGATTTGTATAATTTCAATTTATATTAATGCAAATGTTACATTTTTGGCCCCACTCTAGATAATTTTTTCTCAAAAAGTCAGTCATTAATCAGAAGTTAAAACTTTTGCATGTTTTTATATCAATATCTATTTTTAGGTATAGGTGCAGGTAGATAATTTTTAGAAATGGAATAAGTATTGATAATTCTATCGTACTACCTACTTAATTTAACATTTAACGTGAATTTAATGTAGAAACTGGAAAGATATGAAACATTTAGGTAATTTGAATAGGATTCATAGAATTTCGTAGTTCCTTGCTAAAGGTACGATAATTGGTGATTTGGTAGGTGCTGATATCAATTTGGAACTTCCAAATTTCAAATTTATACGAACCATGACATTGAACTTGAAAAACAATATCGATCCAATATTTTAGATTATCCATTTCCAAGAATGTTTGGGGCTCTCTTCAATTAAACAATTAGAAGACATTCATGGAATGTCTTTTTGTCTCCTTTTTAAGCTTCTAATTCCTTCAATGGCCAATTTAAATAAAATACAAAATGCTTATACAAAATATTTGAATGTAAGATAAAAATAGGTATCTTTTATTTTGTATTTGCATTTTAAATGCAACTATTTCAAATAACTCACATCTCTGCATATATGTTCATTATATAATTCATCTAAAATACCGTACACATATTTCAACTATTCCTAGTACTTTAGTTATGATAGAGTGGCAGAATTAAACTAAATCTGTTCAGGAAACTTCAACGGTAAGTTAAGCGGGAAACCCAACGAAATAATGAATTGGAATAACGTGATATTCATGTTCTTTTCCAAAAACTATAAGAACTTATAATCTAACACATGGGTAGGTATAATATAAAAAATATAAGTACTTTATTTTACTAAATTTAGCCGGTGGATATGGTAAAATCCTTATAAATTTTATCATACTCGGGAATGAATATGTTACGTTTTCATTCACGAAATTAGGGAAAAATGTCGTACTTTCGGTAAGGTATGGTATAAACTATTTTTATCTGATTGTAATTTTCAGTAAGTAATTTGCTGGTTTGATATTAAACAGTGTTATTATTTCTGATGCGAATGTATTTAGATAGGTATTACTTGCTAATCTTGCATCACAATTTAAGATATACTTGAAAGATTTATAACGTAAAATCCGATCTCGTTATCTCTTTCGAGTTTAATGGTATGGTATCCATCAAAAGAATTCAATTCAAGTAAGTAACAGCCACATTGCACTATTCAAGTACCTACTTTAAGTATAATTAAGAACTCACTTTTTTACTATAAATACGGTCTTAAGTGTCTAAATGGACATAAATAAAACCTAATGTACTTAATTTTGATATATAGGTATCTTTTTTTTATGTCGGTAAAACAAAGAACTTTTCTTTTTAAACCACTTGTGAAGATGCTTCTTCCTGCTTTGTAGGCATTTAAGAAAGTGGTTTCATTAGTAGTATAAAATATTAAAACATCCATGAATAAAGGCACTTATCTATTTTATAGTAATTAACAATAATAAATCATCCCATCTGTATTGTTCTTATTCCATATAGAAACAAGCGAATCACAAACTACGTTTGCAGTACCTATTAGTTTGCAACAAAGAATTTGTTGCACTTCCTGATTTGTTAATTGTTTTCATTTTTAGGATTTTGTAATTTAATAATAAGACGAAACATTTATAGTGTGTGACCAACACGCTTTTGATTAATTTTTTAAACTTATTCAAGGAAAACATGTAGGTACAACGACGTCAAAAGCATTTTCTATACTAATTGGAAAATCATTTTAAAATAGCGATTGCTGCTCCCGAAGATATAAAATAAGCATGTTTCATACCAATTTAAATTCTGCGTTCAGTAAAACAAAAAAAAATCATATCTACTTATAAATTATAAAACATATGATAGCAACTATTTAGGAATGTTGTACACAGAGAAAATGAAAAAGGAAAATTTACCTAAATATTGAAGTGATATTTACAATCTATCCCAATTAGCCCGTTGCATCGTAAGCGAAAATAATAAAAATTACAATTTGGACCCGAATTTGTAAAAATAAAATCCCAGCAGAAATAAATTCACTAGGTATTTTAATTGATATTACAAATTAAATTGTAATAATTAAGAAACTTGAAATAA